GCGGGTCCGCACAAGGGCCGCTGGCACCAAACGCCCTCACTTCCATCTTCGCTTCATTGAAATTCAACGCCGTCGAGGGCGTCTCGATTTCCTCCGGGTGGGATCAAAGCGGCCCCCGCGAGAAAGCGTCTTTTTGGCCCCGCGGGACGGAGATGGGACGCTCGCCCGCGCAGCATGCGCTACTCACCCGGCGAGGATGCAGCCCACGTTGGCGATGAACCACTCGGGGGCATTGAAGCCCAGGATGCCCACCCCGTGGTAGCGCTCCAGACCGAGCTAGACACACACACACACACACACACACACACACGGTGGGATCAAAGCGGCCCCCGCGAGAAAGCGTCTTTTTGGCCCCGCGGGACGGAGATGGGACGCTCGCCCGCGCAGCATGCGCTACTCACCCGGCGAGGATGCAGCCCACGTTGGCGATGAACCACTCGGGGGCATTGAAGCCCAGGATGCCCACCCCGTGGTAGCGCTCCAGACCGAGCTAGACACACACACACACACACACACACACACACACACACACACACATTTTTACTGCTTTGACTTTTGACCTCCATCCAACAGGTCCAGGGAAGAGGGTCTGGAAGCCAAGATGGAGATGTCGCATGGCTAAAATACAAGGACGCTTCTCCCCGCAGAGTTTGGGGTGCAAGCACAAGTCGACAGTGGAAGCGAGCGATCGGAGGCGGCTGTCGTCAGAGAGCGCAAGAGACGCACGGCGCCAAAAGGCCTCAGCTGCGCGCTCAAGGTCAACGGCGGAAGGCGTTCTTTTTGCAAAACAAAATGCTGTCTGGCTCTTCATCTTTCACTTTCCTGTCTGAGTGTTTTGGCGCTTTTGTGAAGATTCCAACGCTCTTGTTCTCAACAGATCAACTTTTTTGCGTGACGGGTGAAACGACTTCATGTTCCTCCAAAGACGACTTTTCATCCTGACCGAATATGAAATGCAAAAGGAAAAAAACAAAAAACGACACTCTGAATTTGTTGACATCTTTCGTTTCGTCCGACTCGGACAATCGAGCCTCCCGAGACGAGTCTCGGGCGTACGTTTTCCAAGAGCCCGCGTTCTCGCCGAAACATCAAATCCTAAATCCGAAGCAAACGTCTGTGCGGTTTGGAAACATCAAAGGAGACGCCGTTTCGGGTCGGTTTTCTTCCCCATCAAAGACAATTGGGGGCTCAACTCCAATTTTCAGGAAAAGGAAGGTTGCCGTCAACGAGCGCGCGTCGGCGTGAACGCCAAAGACCGTCGCGTCTCCGGAGAAGCGAAGGCAGACCTTGATGAAGCTCTTGGCGGCCGTCCGGCACTCCCGGTAGTACTGCGCCCACGTCAGCGTCCGCCACCGGCCGTCCTCCTTGCTCGCCACGGCACGGCGCTCCCCGAAGGCCTCCACCGACTCCCGG